GGCATCCCTTTTTCAAGCTCTGTCTCCTTTCAGGCGCGTAAAATCCCTACTGAAAAAAGGCTGGCCGATCTTTTGGTGCGTCCAAGGCATTCGTCCATTTCCAAAGTGAGCAATTTTGGTGGAGACCAGATCCACATCTGGCAGAGGCGACGCAAAGCTGCCAACAGAAAATCTGAACTCAAAGTTGTGCTTATCCCGCAGTCAGGCTGTACCTTAAATGTGCTCTCAACAGCCGGACCTGAGTTCAGACTTCTTAGATTCAAGGTTTTGGAGGTCTTCTTCAGTTTTGTACGCCAATTATTCCGATAAGATTGATATAAAATAATGTATTTGTTCATATAGTCACTGCGGCTAAGCCGAAAACTAGAGGCCTTGGAAATCAACTAATTGAGCAATGCACCAAATGTTAGAAAAACAGGTAAAAAATGTGACGAGGAACTCTCATAGCATCATTGGAAAATATCAACTGTCAGTCCTGAAATCACCTTATACGATCAAGGCTGACGGTAGCTAATGACTAGATATTTAATTATAGTTTATAGACCTAATTTATACTTGAATAATTGTCAATGACAAATTAGATAAAATGAGGTATACTGACCCTCGGTGACTGTACATTCCATGCTCAATCGACCTCGATGATCGTATCAATCGGCTAACTACTTACTTAATTTTTGTATTTAAGTAGTTTCGAGATTACCAGTAAATCAGTAATATAAGATGTATTCACCCCATTTCGTGCACTGTCACGGATGAGAAACGTCATCTCTTCTCATATCATTGTAGGAAAATTCTACTATCAGACCTTGATTACCTTAAACGAAATAGAGTCACTACATCTCATATAACTACTTACTAACTACTTACAAGTAAAAATGCAACTAGATATAAGATATTTAATATTAATTGGAGCACTTATACTTGAGTGCATTGCATACTCTGACGTATACACATACAGAAACACACATAGGCATTCAAATGTGAGTATCCTAATTAAGTTATGTAAAAACTGATAAAATTATTTTTATATATATTTATCTCAAGACGTTAAGAAGACTAGCAGTCTGTAACCTACATTATATATATGTAGGAAAATATAAAAACGAATATTTAGACGAATATAATAGATGTCAAACGGTTTGTTTATTTCTCCATTCTATTAATCAGATTATTGTCCTTGATTGTGTCTGCATACATATTCCAATAAACACACACATGCGCACACCATTGTGGGGCAATTATCAAAAGATGGTCTCTTTGCAAGTGAGTGAATGAAAGATGTGCATTTCT